TGCGTGAGTGAGCGATTGTGTATCCGCGAGTGTATATATGTGTGTGAGTGTGTGAGTGATTGTATGTGAACTCGTGTGTACATACGAGTGTGGATGGGTGGGGTGCCGTGGGAAATCGTGGTGTGTGTATACAAGTATACGCTGGTGTTAGGGCGTGTTTTGCCTCTCTGTTGGTGCCAGGTGGGTGGGAGACATTTTTTTTTGACAGTCTGGAAGGCTGATCATGAACAAATATATTACCCCCATGTCTGTACGTATTCAGGCCCTGCGATGTTCCTCCCAGCCGTGATTCATTGTTGACATATGTCCATTTGAGGGTCCTTTAAAAAAATGAAAAGGCCCCCATGTTTGAAATTTTTTTTTTATTCATAAATTACAGGACATAGGGCCGTAGGCTCTACATAAATTGTTTTGCAAAAGTAAAAAAGCTGAGCAATTTTATGCTCCATATATGTTGACATCACGTTGCTAGAACTCTAGAGAGTAGATAGTGTGTGTCAGACTGTCAGTGACTCAGTGTCCCTTACTGTCTGACTCATCTTTCACTGTGTGAACTGTGACTTTTAGACTGACAGTCTCACACTGTGACTGTGTGAAATCTGACATCTCTCTACTATCTAGAGTAGAGTCTTGACTCTAGAGTACTAGATTAGAGAGACTGAGAGACTCTCTCTACATACTATTTTTACATAGGTTCTACTACTCTACTCTAATCTAGTAGAGAGTACTGGGCTGGGATTGTAGAATGTAGGAGGGTCCCACTGTCCCAGCCGTGATTTATAGTTGACATTTTATTATTATAAACAAAACCGAATTTTATCTCGTACATTTTACTGATTACTGTATGCATGTATTACTGTATGTAATACCTTTTTTTAGAAACCAAAATTTTGTCTCTGTTGCTCTTTTGAGCACCATGGCATGTGTCTGAAGTTTTTTAATAGGAGTCAGGGACTCAAGGAGTCAAGGGCCGAATTCATTCCCTTTTTTTTATGAAACGAAATGAGCAAAAGAAAAAGCACCAAAATATGTTTCTTTATTAATCTCTCGGACAGATGTTAGCGAATGACGTCACGATAATTGTTGATCTTTAAAATAAAATAGAACTACATAGGTGTCGTGTGTATGTCGTATAACTGTATGTACAAAGATAGGAGCTGTAAGCCTGTAACAAATAATCAAATATTGGACTTATTTAACACCCGGGGATTGGGGTTGACACAAAGATACATTTAAAAATTTATTTCATTGGTAGTTATATAATTTGAACTCATAGTATTGACGGGTAATAAACTACAGAATGTTTAATCTCATCACGATTGGACAAATTGCTTTAAAAGTTTTGAAAGTACGAATTTGTACCAGAACTGGGTCAAACTAGGCGCATGTATGCATCATATAAATCCATACGCGGATGGATGACTACGAGCGCCTAGTTTCAGTTCTGGTACAAACTCGAATCTTTCATAACTTTTGCTCAGGATGAGATTTAACATACGTTTATTACTCGTTGATTATGATAATTGGAGTCATCTATATACCAATGAAGTAGATTTTCAAATTGGTATTTGTCTTTTTGAATCCCTATTTTTAGTTTTTTACTCACTACAGTCAATGAGTCAAACCTCTCTATTTGAGTACTTTTTTAAAAATTGGATTTTTTAATCTCTTCTGAAATGTTCTTTTTTTCAAAAGGCATGTAGAGTACTCCAGAGACCTACTATGTAGTATGTACTTAGGTACATAATCTAAAATCCTAGTAGATGTGGGACAGGTCCAAGGAAGAACTAGAGATGGTATGTAGGAACTATTTAAATAAAAGTGCAGCGCCGACGCCTTCGAGTTCGAGGCACTTGACTTGACACGGGATATCCGGAAGCTGAGTAGAGATTGCAAAAGGTTCTGGAAGGGATCTACTAGCTTTGTGATATCTACAGTTAAACAAAAACAAAATACTATATAAAAAAATTATGTGTGCGATTTGATAAGAGAAAATTCGAAAGTCGGAAAGAGCTTTTGCTGCGCTATGCGATCGAGGTGATGGAAGCAGCTACAGCCCACAGACACGTGGTGTTTAATCAAAAATGAAGATCTCGGATTTTAATTTGACTAAATAGCCAAATACGATATATCTCAGTCTGATACTATATTTATACTATTTCCAGAGCATATATATATGTTGAAAATATGAACGCTGTGGAATAACACACTTTCATTTTTTAGATTTGATCTTTACGTGTTTAATACATAGCTACCATATCCTTTTTGGTCTGCGATCATGATTGAGGAACAGAATGTTGATCTGCATGAGGATTGCAAAACGCGGATTAATAATCTTAAACGCATAAGGTGTGTATTTCAGCAAGATATCACAAACTTTTTTAATCTATATTTCATACGTCGACCTCAAAAATTATTTCTGTCAGTTGCGCAGCAGTATCATTTTTGATAATTTCTTAGTGACTTGCAGCAATAGGTTTGAAAGTATTGTGCCATTCTATATTCCCAGAGCAAATCTGCACGAAGCATTACGTGCTCACTTGCCAGACTATGAGTTGCGCCATGTGGAAAGGCAATTGGAATCAGATAGAGCCCAAAATCTTGCCGCGCAGGATGAAATAAGGGATCTGAAGCTTCAACTACAGCGACCATTGTCTGGAAACTCGAAAACAAAATGTGAAACGGATCCAAGCGACAAGATGACGAAGCTTATTGATGAACGGGATAGCCTTGCAGCCGAAAAAGAGGAAATGACCAAGCAATATGATCATTTAAAAAAGGAGTGCGAGACTGCAAATCAGGGCTTGATTGTAGCGAAGGATGCACTCATCGCAGCAGAACAAAGTGCGAAGGACGAAAAAGGGGAAATGACCAATCAATTTGATCAATTAAAAAAGGAGTGCGAGACTGCAAAACAGGACTTGATTGTAGCGAGGGATGCACTCATCGCAGCAGAACAAAGTGCGAAGGACAAGATAAATGAATTTGATACCAAGGTAGCCGAACTTGCTGATGTAAAAGAGAAGTTTGCTACGGTTGAAAGGGAAAAAGAGAACATATTGATCGAACTCCAAAGTAAAGAAGCTGCGCTGTCTTTGGCTATGATTGCGGAACAGGAATCCGAGGATACTGTAAAGCAATTGCAACAGGAACTTACTAGCACAACCGAGGACCTAAACAGCGCACAGCGCGCACTATTAGCCGCAACGGGTGCGAAGAACAATGCGGAGAAATCAGCGAAGCAAATGTGTACAGACCTAAAAGCAGAGAAAGAATTGTGTATAAACACGATTCGAGATGAGATGGCGAAGGAAAAAGAGGAAACGATCAAGCAATTTGATACCGTGGCAGCCAAACTTGTTGACAAGAACATTAAAATATCGAAAGACCTCGAGAACGCCACCAATGCAAAACAGAAATTGCAACGGGAACTCAGCGCTATTAAGGAAAAGATGCGCCTAGCTGACGCGAAACGAGACGCTGCGAAGAAAGAACTATTAGAGTCAACGAATGCGAAAACTGAGGCGGAGGAAAAAGTGGTGGAACTGAAGGAGGAACTAGAAAATCTGAAGGATGAATTCGCTGCAAATGCTACAATCAGTGCTAGAATCAGGGAGCCTAGCGAAGCCGAACCCTCGGGACTGCTACAACCGATTCTCCGAGATAATGAGCGTCGCTCGTTGTTTTTAGGGTCTCAGGACAATAATGACTCAGGGTTCTTCAGTAGCACGTATGGAAGTCGAGATGTCAGTGACTCGGACGAGAGAGAGAATCTAGTACGAAGAGCGAGGATAATCTGGACGACTAGCACTGGATCATTATACCATTCCTCCAATTGTTCTTATCTCCGCGTGACTCGCATACCCGTGGTATATAGTGAATCGATGGCAAATAGGAGAGGTTGTATCCGTTGCTCAGGGGACCTAGACGATGTCATGTGGCATTTCGGTGAAGATAGGATTGTGCGATATGTTTAAAAAAAAATGTGAAGCAACGCACGAGGTCGAGCAGGCTGAGCAAGTATTATTTATTTTTTAAACAAAACAAAACATTTATAGGTTCGATAAAATGATTTTTGTTTTATATATTTTAAAATATAGATATATAGATAGATATATTTAAATATAAATATACACAAACACATATATATATAATATATATATATATATATATAATAAAATACATATCTATATTAATGTTAATATATAATATTTATATATATATATGCAAAGATATACATATACATTTACATATATATGTATATACAAATATGTATATATATAAATATGTTTATAT